GGACCCTTCCTGAAACATCAACTTTCCTGCTCCTCTGATGCTGCCTGGTCTGCTGTGTTCCTCCTGCTCCACACTGTGTTGTCTCTGACTCCAGCATCTGCAGTTCTTCTGCTTCTTCAGAGATAGCAAGTAGGTCTGTCTTCATATGGGGGGATGGGGAGAGCAAGGGATGGAATTAAATCAAAGTGGAGTTGGTGGGAGAAATAATGCACCCCAGCCCACTAGTTCTTCTCTGAAAATATATTGTGACACACCTCTGGAGCAGGTGGGATTTGGACCTGAGTCCACTAGTGCAGAGTCAAGGACTCTACCACAATTCCACAAGATTCTTAACTGGATGTCTTCTTATTAGTAAACCAATGCTAAACCAATTTAAACAACTGCACATTTAACAATGATCAAACTTTTGTACTTAATATTTGATATTTTATAATCAACCTGTAGTACACACTTCTGGAGCAGGTGGAACTGGAACATAGGCCTCCTGACTCAGAGGTAGGCACACTACCACTCTTCCACAGGGCACCTAAATTGGCTGGCGGAAGAGGTAAATAAGCCACTATCAAATCACCCCATTAAAACAAGCACACAATCAACAAAAAACAGTTGTTCTTAAATATGCTGTAATTGACATAATCTGTTCCTAATCATAATCTGGAACATGCCTTATCAACACTTAATGAGCTCATCATTTGCAGCTCTGTTGACGTGTGTTTCCTGTTGGGAAAAGGTTAGAGGCATTGTAAAATAGTATGCAGCTTTCCCCCTTGAAATTGGCATAAGGAAATACTGTGCATTCTTGAAGTAAATGTGAAGTGGAGCTGAGTATCAGAATCATAGGAGCAGGAAGGCTGACGTTTCAGGCCTAGACCCTTTGGATCTAGGCCCGAAACGTCTGCCTTCCTGCTCCTATGGATACTGCTTGGCCTGCTGTGTTCATCCAGCTCTATACCTTGTTATCTCAGGTTGTCCAGCATCTGCAGTTCCTACTATCTCTGAGTATCAGAACCCAGCTTTTCCTATTTGACAGGTCAGTTATGTTTGGAAATATTGTGAACCCAGTGGGCACTAAGACAGAGCTTTTTTAGATTGATTTACATCTATGTGAAAGATTACTGGAAATAGCACTATTCCATAATGATGAGAAACAAAGAACTATGTAGGAGCAAACAGATTTGATTGTCCATCTATGTAAATGATTAAAACCTAATGAATGGATACAATAAGCAATCCAAAAGTTTAATGGGAATGTTGACCTTTGACTCAAAGTGCCCGAAAGGCAAAGGTGGTTTGTGTATGAGGGAAGGAGTGGCAGTGTTACACAGGCATCGCATGAACATTTGCTCAGCTTGCATCTGGAGCTTCTTTCAATCTTTACGACACTGTTATAATGTGGAGTTTGATTTCTCCCCCCACTCCCTGCACCAAGAACTAAAACTGAAACACCCAAAGAGGAGCACCTTGCCCTATAATCTGTAAAAAGAGTGTGAAAATGGTGTAACCTGCCTTTCAGCTCTTCTAGTGGTTAACTAAAATAAAATCCATGATACTCATTCAAAAATCAACAAGTAACAATTTATTTATCTAACAATAACACTGAAGAAATGGTTCCTTAGCCTTGGAGAGGGTGCACCATGAATTTATCAGAATCGTATTACAGCTTAGTGGGTTAAATTTTGAAAGCAGGTTATATTCATCTTGCACAGGATTGAGGAGTGTTCTAATTGAAAATTTGATTAAAATTCAGAGGATATAAAATAATATTCAGAGCCATAGAGCTGTAAAGCATGGAAATAGATCCTTCAGTCCAACTTTGGACCCAGCACTAATCCTTGTGGCGCACCACTGTTCACAGGCCTCCAGTCTGAAAAGCAACCCTCCACCAACATCCTCTGACTTCTACCTTGAAGTCAGTTCTGCACCCAGATGGCTGGTTCTCCCTTTATTTCATGTGATCTAACCTTGTTAACCAGTTTACAATGAGGAACCTTACCGAACACCTTACTGAAGTCAATATACATCACGTCCACCACTCTGCCCTCGTCAATCCTCTTTGTTACTTCAAAAAACTCAATCAAGTTAGTGAGACACAATTTTCCATGCACAAAGCAATGTTGACAATCCCTAATCAATCCTTACCTTTCCAAAGGCATGTAAATCCTGTCCTTCAGGATCCCCTCCAAAAACTTGCTCACCGGTCTATAGTTCCCTGGCTTTTCCTTACCAGCTTTTTTTACACAGTGTCACCACGTTAGACAGCTTCCAGTTTTCCGGTACCTCACCTGTGGCAATTGAATTATACAAATGTCTCAGCAAGGGGCCCAGAAATCACTTCCATAGCTTTCCGACAGAGTTCTAGGGTGCACCTGATCAGGTCCTAGGGATTTATCCACCTTTATGCATTTTAAGACATCCAGCACCACCACTCTCTGTAATATGGACATTTTTCAGGATGTCACTATTTATTTCCCACGTTTTCTGTGTTCCATATTCTCCTCCACAGCAAACACTGATGCAAAGTACTTGGTTAGTGTCTCCACCACCTCCTGTGGTTCCACACATAGGCAGCCTTGGTAATCTTTAAGGGACCCAATTCTCTCCCTTGTCTTTTTTTGTCCTTATTGTATTTGTTGAATCTCTTTGGATTCTTCTTAACCCTATTTGCCAAAGCTATCTCATGTCCCTTTTTGCCCTCCTGATTTCCCTCTTAAGTATACAGGTAGTTCTGCTATAACACGTGTTTCATTAACGTGAATTGGCTGTAACGTGATTGATGAATAATGCACACTGTTCGGCTAACACGAACTTTCTCCTGTATAGATATAGCGATTTTTCTATAGCTATTTCCCAATAGCGTGATTTTCTAAAGTGCAAGGTCTCACAAGAACACAACTATCATGTTATAGGAGAACTGCCTGTACTCCTACTGCCTTTATACTCTTCTAGGAATTCACTGTAAGATGTGAATATATTTTATTTGTCTTGACAATATGGTCTTTGACCACACCTTCTATCTCTCTGAACTGTTTATTTGATTGGATCTTTGATCAAGTCTGGAACAGATTGCACTGATGTGCCCGTCACACAATCTGGAGTGATTTGATTAAGTATGTTTGATCTTTGGTAACTTAAGGCAGCTGACTGACTGACTGAATTTTATGCAAGGTTGGGCCACGTTTATTTCCTAACATTTTCTCTTTCACCTTGAGAAAGCATTGAATTATGGCTTAGGTTCACAGTTCAGCATTTGAAAATTTGCAGTTGATGTAATATGTGATCACCTTAATAAAATTTATAAGCTTTCTACTTAAAGCTGGTATATTTTTGCATAAAATGTTCATAATGTTTTCTCATATCTGTAGAAAATGTGTCTTGGAATGATATCTGGCATATCTTAACCCAGTTAGTTCAGCACCACTCTAAATTGACTCAAATGACACATGCCAGCATTAAGAGTATTGTATCTATCATTCTGCCATGTACTGACCGTGGATAAGAGTCAGTTTATAATAAGCAAGGAGAAAACACATTAGCATCAATTTGCTTAAGTTTTACATACTTCCAGAGGTTCTCTACAAAATTGTGTTCAGTGTTAATACTCATCAAATTTTAAATTTAATAGTACTATAAGAAAATATATCAAGATGTATAATAGGATGCCAGTAACACAGCTGAACGCATTCCCAAACAATCTGAGCATTTGAAGTTCAATACAAACTCGTGCATAATTTGAGCAATTGAGGTTGTTGGAACCACCATTTATCCACAGGACTCTGAGTTGAGTTACCAATTTGTATGCTATTCAATGACAGAAAATTAGGTGTGGTGTAAACCTGGCTCAATTTTCCTCTTAATAGCACAGTGTGGAGCTGGAGGAGCACCGCGGGCCAGGCAGCATCAGAGGAGCAGGAAAGTTGACGTTTCGGGCTGGGACCCTTCTTCAGAAAATTTTCTTGTCAACTTTCCTGCTCCTCTGCTGCTGCCTGGCCTGCTGTGATCCTTCAGCTCCACACGGTGTTGTCTCTGACACCATCATCGGCAGTTCTTACTACCTCAATTTTCCTCTTGGCCCACTTTTGGTCCATGAAACTTCAATTTTATAAAATTAATGTATTCTTCTTGATTTTTATTTATCTCTTGAATTTTCTGCTGTAGGCTTCCGGTATAGTTAATGGCATAAAATTCCTGTTGTGAGAGTTGTGTGACAAATTGTCAACAGGATAAAAAAAAAACACATCTGTCTGAAAAATGATGACAACACTGTGTAAATTATTCCAAAACGTCAACGGTTGTTCCAGTATTGCTGGACACATCAGAACATGAAATTCAGTTACTATCCTAGTTCTTCATGGAGTTGTTCCTTTCTTTGTCTCACTTCTCCCTTTTTTCCTCATAAGTATTGTCAACATGCAACTTGTAGCTGCACTGTGGTCAGCTGCGAATAAAAGAAGCAAAAGGTTTTCAACCTGGATTTCACAGAATACTGGCATTCTGTAGACACTTTCCAGGATGGTCTGTAAAATGTGAAAATGCTTATCAAGAAAAGTCATCCATACAAGTGGATGATCGCTGTTGACGTGGTCATGATAACTGTACTTTCAAATGCCACTGTGTAACCACTCGGGACTATGTGCTGTAACATAGCAAATATTAGGAATCTGCAGCATTTTGCATTGGTGCATTGTCACTCAGAGATGCATAATGCTGTCAAACTAGTCTCAAACGATCATTCACCTGATTTCCCAGTGGTCTGCAAAGCCACTGCTTTACCAGATCTAAGTAAATTGAATTCTATTTCTAATTTGTGTCTAGGAGATCCATATTCTGTACTTTTCCTTGAAATGTACAGAGCAGTGTGTACAATTTTCCCGTTTGTGCTGTGGCATGGACAATAGTGAGAAAGTTGGAGAAACTACTATGAAACTGAAAAAAAATCCAGGATCAAGAGGATCTACATTAAGTCTGGGGTACTCTCACAGCTAGCAAAGCAGCTCAATGATTCCAGTGAGGTTGACTGTGGTCAGTCAAGGTCATGCCAGAGTATGGGGACCTCTGTCCTTGTAATCTGTGAATAGCCCACAGTCAGTTCCATAGGTCAAGTGCAATCACTCCTGGGTTTACTGGGTTTATTTGTGATACTGTGGAGATACCATTCTGGGAGTGAGCCATTTTTTTCTCATAATGAGAAAGAGACGTATTGAGGTGTGTTAAACATGGATTAAAGAGCTGTTAATGTTGAGGCAGTGAGGTGTCTATAATGACTGAGTAGGAAGTGCAGAGAGCAGGAAGAGTGAGGTGGGTGAGAGCAATTGAGTAGGAATCTTCCATGCAATTTTTGAGAGTTGTAGCCTGTGAACCTTGGTGAGAGGCATGTGCAGTTGAAGAATTAGAGTGAGTAGTGATGATCCTTTGAGTTTGAGATAGCAGAGAAAAGATGGTGACACAGTCTTGTAAAGCAAAGATCAGTTGACACCTTCCTTTACTGCTGGGTGTTGCTTTTGGCCTGGGTCAAAGCACTGACCTTGGCTGTTATCTGGGTCCATGGTAGCATGGCTCCCTTTGGCCACCAGGAAAAAGGCCCATTGCTCACTTCACAACCCTGTCCAGAAGAGCTCCAAATCCCTGGTTGCAAGGCAAAGAGCAAGCTTTGTTTTTCGGCCTTGTCCCCAGTGACAGTGGTTGAGCAGTATATTGAGAGGAACAGATATCTGCAGCATCTGAAGTGGTGTACGGCTGGGCTTTAAATATGGCACTGGTGATGTGAACACTAGAAGATCCTGGCAGTGGCGAGCGCATCCACCTCTCCAGTTGCACTATTGAACAAGAAAAGTACCAAAGAGCCTGCTTGCATAATTAATGAGTTGAAGGGCCTAATATTGGGAGAGAAAAGTTGCTGTGAGCTATGTTGGACCTTGCGCCATGAATCTCACTTGATAAACACTTGAACTGAAAATGGAACAATTCTGCCCATAGGCTTTTAAGTAGAATAATTCAGGAGTGAGTGTTAAATATCACTCCAGGGACAATCAAACTCTGCCGTGATGTGTCACTAATATCCCAGCAAGTATCTGTCATCTTCAAAGCATCATTAAATTCACTACATGTGGTGCTTTCAAATGGGTATCATATTTTAGATGGAGAGCTTATAGTAATTAATCCATTTGCAAAGGGCCCTTTTAACCAAAGAAGCTGGGAACTACTGAAATACACAATTTCTAAAACAAAAATGTCCAGTACTGATGTATGGGAGAAGGAAGAATAAAATAGTGAAGAAAATGTAGGAGGTAGGAGTTAATGAAATAATTAAAATTTTGTACAGATTTCAAATCAAAATGTGAATCAGACATGCAATTTTTCTCTCCTCCCCCAGAGGAGCTAATCCTCATTAAAGTTTTCGTTACATTTTTGTACCACTTCCTTTTTATTGCACCCGTATCACTGTGCAGACTGAAGATGATTTTAATGTAAACTCTTCTTTATTCTAGAGTAAATGACTGCATCCTTCGGGTAAATGATGTGGATGTAAGGGAAGTAACTCACAGTAAAGCAGTGGAAGCTTTAAAAGAGGCTGGATCAATTGTGAGATTATATGTGCGGAGAAGAAAGCCAGTCACCGAAAAGATTTTAGAAATAAAACTTATTAAAGGGCCTAAAGGTAAGTTGTATATCAAGTGCAATAAAAGATGTGCTCATACATCTCACAGGTTGCATATGTTAATTTGGCAAATTGTTACTGATTGCAAATTAGATAAACATGATACTGTTTTTGCTCTGCAATCCCCTGCCCCCAGCCATAAAGCTGCCACCTGCATATTTGTAGGACGCATAGCCACAATGTTGCAGTACAAACCCTAGAAGAAGATGATGAGTCAGTGCAGGACATTGGGCTGTAAAGAATTGCTGTGTTTAATTACTACATAACTAGGTATTAGAGGCGTGAGGATCAGTATCCAAATTGATGTTTTGTTCAAAATTTGAGTTATGCCAAGAGTCTAGAGGTACAAAAGCTCAGGGAATATATTGACCAGGTATTTAAAATGCTTAAAGTCCAAGGTGATGTGACAGCTGAATTTTGAAATTGTGGCGTAAACACAATCTGTGTAATGTCCTCGCTTAGAATGCAGACACAAGAACAGGAGTAAACAGTTCCATTTGGTTATGTTTGTGGGTACCAGAAGACTTTTTATACATTCTTGTTCCATAATCCCTTGATGCCCTTGCCCAACAAAAATCTGTAGATTTAAATATTATCAATTTCAATTGTCCTAGCATCTCTAGTCTTTTGTTCTGGATGCTTCCACCAGAGAATAGGTTACCTCGCCTCACCTATCAAGCTAGTTATTATTTTAAACAATTCAATTAGATCATCACTCAACCTTCGTAACTCAAGTAAAAGCAATCCCAGTTCATGCAGCCTATCCCTACACTTGTACCATTTAAGCTCTGATATCATTCAGCTGTGTCTCCATTGAAGCTGTCTCTTCCCTGAGATTCGCTGACAAAACCAAAAACTACTTCAGAGGCCCAGATAATGTTGTGGGGACCTGGGTTTGAATCCCACCACGGCAGATGGTTCAACTTCAAATCAATAAAAGTCCATAGAATCCAGACAGTGTGGAAACAGGCCCATTCGGCCCAACAAGTCCACACTGACCCACCAAAGAGCATCCCACTCAGACCCAATATTTTCCATGGCTAATACATCTGTATGAGGAAACCGGAGCACCTAGGGGAAACCCACGCAGACATGGGGAGAATATGCAGAGTTTGCACAGGCAGTCACCTGAGGATGGAATTGAACCCGGGTCCCTGGCACTGTGAGGCAGCAGTGCTAACCACTGAGCCACTGTGCCAGTCTCTGGAATTGAGTCAAATGATGACCGTGAATCTGTTGATTGTCAGAAAACACAACTGGCTCACTAATGTCCATTAAGGAGGGAAACTGCCGTCCTTACCTGGTCCGGCCTATGTGACTCCAGGTTCATAGAAGTATAGCTGACTCTTTACTGCCCGATGGGCAATAAGTGCTGGTCTAGCCAACGATGCCCTCATCTTGTGAATGAATAAAAAATTCCTTCAAACAGTAGTGAATCTGTAGAATTCTTGGTCACAGATTGTGATTAAGACCAAAACATTGAAAACTTTCAAGAAAGTTGTAGATATAGTTCTTAGGACTAAAGGAATCAAAGGGTATGGGGAAAAAACAGGAACGGGGTTCTGAGTTGGATGGTCAGCCATGTATGGAGCAAGTTCACAAGGCTAGTAGATCTACTTCTGCTCTTGTATTCTGTGTTTCTATGTTTTTGTATATGTACACTAACTTTTAGTGAATTGTGTACACGTGCACGCACCCCATATCACTATTTCACTATTTGGAACGCTTTTTGATTTCTCTTTCTTCCATCAGAAGTGGACAGCTTCACGCTTAAATTGTATCGAATGTCATGAGCTGTAATGTAGTCTGATCCTTATAACTCCCCAGCCCCCAACAAAACTTGGTGTGCCACTGTAAATTTGGATATGTATTTACCTGTTATGGTGTACTGAAGTAAATTTGCACAAAATAGTAATATTTGAACATAGTAAATGTTTGAAATTGACTGTCAATTGGAGGCAGATGGTGTCAGATATTTAAGGAAGAATTTGATAATTTGAGGAATAGAGTGACTGTGAATTATGATTCAGGATGGCAAGTTGGATTAAAGTTTTTTTTTTCCCTAGATCAGTGCTTTCTATATTCTCGTATTATGGAATAATTCCCTGACAGTTACACTTGTTCCTGGTGAGCAGTTAAATTCTTAGCATTAGTTGTAGAGGCCCTTGCTGTGGTCACATCTGTTTTATGTATAACTAGCATCAGATAGCTTCAGATTTCTTGTGATGTTGCAAGTTCATTGAGCAATGACTTGTGATTTTCATTTAATCATTGAAGGTGTATCTAAAGGTCTTAGAGGTTTGAGCTGAAATGCGTAATGTAGAATTGCTCGATTTAAATGAAACTAAGAATAGCCTTTATATTTGCATTTAAATTCTTTATCTCTGACCTTTAACTTCAGATATACTGAATTTTTGCCCTGCGTAACTTTGGCTGAATTGTTTATTGTCATAACATTTCATTTATGACTCTGATTTTCTTGTTTGGCAACACCAAACTCCTGAAAATACGCCATGTTCCCCTTTTTAGTTCTTTATACTGTTTCCCAGTGGGACATGGAGAGTCATGGACATTTACAGCATGGAGAGGGGGCTTTTTGCTGATCATGCCCATGCTGCTCAACAAGCGTCTATCTATTCTAATTTCATTTTCCAGCGCTTTGCCAATAGCCTTATATGCTATGGCACTTCAAGTGTTCATCTAAACACTACTTAAATATTGTAATGGTTCCTGCCTCTACAACCCTTTCAGCAGTGAGTTCCAGAAACTTAACAATGTCCTGTACAACTTTATCATAACTTCCCAACACTTGAATTCAGTGCCTTGATTGGTAAAGGTAAGTAGCCCAAATGCCACCCTATCCACCTCTATGGGCACGCACATCCTGCTGATCCTCTGTACTCCCCAGGATCCTACCATTCATCGCCTGCTGCCTTGTTAGTCCTCTGAAAATACATTGCCTCTCTCTCTTTTCAGGATTAAACTCCTTCTCCCACTGTTCTACCCATCTGACCAGCCTGTCTATATCTTGCTGAAGTCTAAAGTTTTCCACCTCACTATTTACCACACTACCAATTTTTGTATTATCTGCAAATGTATGAGGTTTTCAGTGTCACGTTTATTAATGTCAATTGGATACAATGAAGGACACAGCACCAAACTCTGACTTGCCACCTCACACAGGTTTGCAGTTACAAAGCAACCCACACATGAACAAATTCCGCACACGCCTCAACGTCGAGCTCTTTATCCACCATTACCACCTCCACGCCTATTTCTTTGAAAGAGAATCCAAGCCGCCCCTGACAACCCCTTCTCCCACCTCCAGCAAACTCCATCTTACTGGACACTCCCTCCCGGCCTCCTACCCTCCCTCGACTTCTTCATCTCCGACTACCGCTGCAACATCAATCCCCTGAATGTCTCCACCCCTCTCACTTACTCCAATTTCTCCCCATTGTAACGTGCAGCCCTTTGTTCCCTTCACTTCAATCCCAAACTCACCATTAAACCCGCCAACAAGGTGGGGTGGGTGCGCAGTGATGGTATGGCAAAATGACCTCTACATTGCTAAGACCAGATGCCAAATCTCCGACACCACCACCTAACGTCACCTCGATCACAACCCCACCTCTGATCACCAAGTCATCATCCCTCAGACCATCAACAACCTCATCACCTCGGGGGATCTCCATACACAGCCTCCACCCTGATAGTTCCCCGTCCACACACCGCCCATTTCTATCTCCTACCCAAGATCCATAAACCCGGCTGTCTCGGTCACTCCATTGTTTCTGCCTGTCCCACTGAGCTCATCTCCTCTTCTCTGGACTCCATTCTTTCCCCTTTGATTCAGGAACTCCCCAGCTACATTTGGGACAGAACCTTTTAAAAAATTTTAAATTCCCCGGCCCCCGATGCTGCTGCTTCACCACGGACGTTCAGTCCCTATACACCTGCATCCCTCACGAGGATGGCCGAAAAGCCCTCCACTTCTTCCTCTCCCATAGGCCCACCCAGTTCCCCTCCACCGACGCACTCATTCGCTTGGCAGAACTGGTCCTCACACTCCGCAGCTTTTCATTTGATTCCTCCCGCCTCCTACAAAGCAAAGGGGTGGCTATGAGCACCCGCGTGGACCCGAGCTGTGCCTGCCTCTCTGTAGGATTCGTGGAACAGTCCCTCTTCAACAACTAAACCAGCACCATCCCCCACCTCTTTGCTATATTGATGATTGTATCATTGCTGCCTTGTGCTCCCACGAGGAGCTTGAACAGTTCATCAGCTCTCCATGGTGCCCTCAAATTCACCTGGACCATTTATGACACCTCCCTCTCCTTCCTGGACCTCTCTGTCTTCATCTCTGGTAACTGACTCACTACTGATGGCCATTTCAAACCTACTGACTCCCACAATTACCTCAACTACACCTCTCACCCACCCTCCTGCAAAAATTCTATCCCATATTCCCAATTCCTCTGCCTCCACCGCATCTGCTCCCAGGATGAGGTGTTCTACTCTAGGACTTTGCAGATATCCTTTTACTTCAGGGACCTTAGTTGCGCCTCCTCTCTCATTAAGGATACCCTTGACCATATCTCCCTCATTTCCTGCACTTCTGCCCTCAAACTCTCTCCCCACAACAGCAATAAGGATAGAGTTGCCTTAGTCCTCACTCAACACCCACCAACCTCCCAAATACAATGCCTCATCCTCCAACATTTCTGCCACCCACAATCGGACGCCACCACCAAAAAGATGTTTCCCTCACCGCCTCTGTCCACTTTCCGCAGGCAACATTCAGTCTGTGTCTCCCTCATCAGCTCCACCCTCCACACCCGGCTCCTTTCCCTGCAACCACAGGAGGTGCAATACCTGTCCCTACACCTCCCTTCTCACCTTCATACAAGGTCCCAAACAATCCCTCTAGATCCAACAGAGATTCACCTGTACATCCTCTGATGTGATCTCCTCTGTATTGGGGAGACCAAAAGCAGACTCCAAGACTGGTTTGCAGAGCATCTTTGCTCTGTACGCACCAACCAGCCGTCATCCACTTTAACTCCCCCTCCCACTCCCCTGGTGACATGTCCGTCCTTGGCCTCCATGCCAAATGCAAATTGGAGAAACAACGTCTCATGTTTCGCCTTGGGAACTTATAGCCCAATCGCCTGACTATTGACTTCACCAGCTTTAAAATCTCTCTTCTTCTCCTCTCCACTACCTGTCCATCTTTCCACTCACTTATCCAGTCCACCCTTCCCACTGACCAACCACAATAACCCCCTACCTGCCATCCACCTATCTCCATCTCAACTACCCTCCCCCTAGCCCCCCCCCCCCCCCCTTTATTTCTGGGCTCCCCCTCAACTCCCCAGTCTTGAAGGGTTCCGACCCAAAAAGTCGACTTCCCTGCTCTTCGAATGCTGTCTGACCTGCTGTGCTTTTCCAGCTCCACATTTTTTTGACTCATTCAGCACTGTCTGACCCCTGCCACTAAGTCAGCTTTGGGTCCAATTGCCCCAGGGCTGCTTCCTCCTTGACCAGTTTTCCATGTGACAATTTTTCAAAAGCCTTACTGAAACCCTTGTAAACTACATCCACTGCACTACCCTCACCCACATACTTAGTCGTCATCTCAAAAAATTCCACTGAATTTGTTAGACATGATCTCCCCTTGGCAAAGTTTTGCTGACGCACCTTGACTAATCCTTGTCTCTCCAAGTTGAATAAATTCTGTCCCTCAGAATTGTTTCCAAAGCCTTCCCTAACTGATATTTAATTCACTGGCTGTGGTAGCCTGGTTTATCCCTAGCGCCCTTCTTGAATAAAGGCATCATATTAGCTGTCTTCCAATCCTATGGCAACTCTCCTGTGTCCAGAGAGGATTTATAGAGTCATACAGCACAGATACAGGCCCTTTGGTTTAACTCATCCACGCTGGCCAAGTTTCCAAAACTAAAACTAGTACCAGTTGCCTGCGTTTGGCCCATTGAAAATTAAACATTAATGTTAAGGCCCCAAATGTTAATTCCTCCAACAGCAAGCCTAGGATGCATCTCATCTGGGTCTAGAGATTTATCCAACTTTAAGCCCATTAGTACCTCTGCCTCTTCCCCTTCAAAGCTAACTTGTTTAATTTCATCACAGTCACTCTTCTCTAATTTCTAAAACCACATCATTGTTATACTTTATTATAATTACGCATCCGCTTTATTTCTACCTTACAGATTTCTGTACCTGGAATTCCGGATGTTTTTATATTGTACTTTATTAGAATACCATCCTACATCATCAAACAACACTTGGCTCCCTGAGAATGTGCTATAGGACGTTCTGTTCTTAGCAGAAACACAGAATGCGAAATTAATGCTGATAATTGTAGATTTGAAGCTGAGGAGTAAAAGATGCATACAAAGTGATGGAATACATCACTGGATAAAGATTGCATTGGGAATCAGTGTTTCATTTTATGGTGCATTGATGCGTGCCTGTGGCTGAAAGAGGAATAGATTCCTGCCCGTCCAAAAATTTCCTCCCAAGTATGTTATATAAATTGGAATATGAATTGTACCCTGTATTTCTAAACGTGATTTTTCCGATCATCCTCCAAAAACAGGCCTTGGGTTCAGTATAGCTGGAGGTGTTGGAAACCAGCACATTCCAGGCGATAACAGCATCTACGTAACCAAAATTATTGAAGGAGGAGCAGCGCATAAAGATGGCCGGCTACAGATAGGGGACAAGATTCTGGCAGTAAGTTCCAAATATTTCTAGTGTTCTTTTTGATACATTAACAAACCTTTGTTGCAGAATCTGATGGAATGGGTCTCATTTTAAATAGTCTATGCATTATACTCTTGTACTTCAGTGTTGTGTAAGCCACAAAACTAGACAATTATGATGGGAATTGCTGCAACTATTTTAAAGAGGACTTTCAATTGAACAATTAAAATGCAACTGACATGATATCAGTGTATCATTATTGAGCAACTTATCGAGCAGGGTTCATTTTGTGATTGCTTCCTAGAGATTTATAACATTGCAGTCCTTTCTGTTGCAATGTAGTGATGGAAACCATGGTAACAAGTTATTCACTTGAGATGTATAGACATCTGATTGACGAGGATTCCAACCATTCATTTCACTGCTTCAGGTTATGCATGTGCTGTGATGTTTCAGAAAAATCCTGTAATAAATATTCATTGTATAACTAGCTCATTTATCTAATGCTTCCAGCTAAGAATTTGCTAAGACCTGAACCAATAAAATAACGGACTTTTATTGGATTCATTAGTACTTCTGATCATTTCTGCTATTGTATTAATACTCCACTTTCTGTTTGGTTGCAACTTGGAAAATGTCATCATTAATTACCTATTGGAAACAGCAGAATTTTAATCTCCAAAATGTTGGTATCAGACCTTTCCAAGGACATAATTACTTCTGCTAATAGAATTTTCTTTGTATTTCTGAAAATTCGCCAGCGTGATTGGAAGCACTTGTGAAGCTGCTAGTGAATGATTGTAGTGACATTTTTGTTTCTCAGCCAGAATCTTTCCAAAACCTGAACTTCCATAGATTGTTCACCTTTTGTTTAACCTTTTTTCTTTCTTGGCTTGCGACTTCAATGCTGAATATTACCTAGACTGTCACTCCATTTTATCCTCTGATTTGCAATCCACGTGCTTGCAAGGTCAGCTCCAGGCTCCATTTTTTTTCCTCTCATAGACTTGCCTGGTCTGATCACATGGTCCTTTGTAGTGGACAGAGTTACGTGGTAGCAGTATTCAAGTTTTCTTTGATCCATGGGAAGTCAATATCCTATCCCTTGTGAATAATGAGGATTTGATGTATCAATCCAGTCAAATAATTTAGCCAAATAATTTAGTCAAGAGTGACTTGGAAGGTAGTTTTTTTTTGTGTGTGGTTGTTGTGGATTGCTTGGCCATGTACTAAAGGAGTAGTTATTAATTTCTATTAATTTTGAAGGGATAGAGGACAAAGCAAGGCTAAAAGTTGCAGTGTAAATGGTCTGGTCTCTTTTTTTTCCACATTTTCTTTTTATTTGTGGGTGAGTATTCACATGTTTCAAATTCCGTTCTTCAAGGATTTCTTTTGCATTAAAAGCAAGTATGCTATTAATTACTCATTAGCTAGCTTTCATTTCATTGGCGTATGTCATTGAACAATAATCACTTTGATCTCCTGAGTCACATCAATTATCCACCTCCAGATTACATATTTGTTGTTTGTGTGGATGCACCTATGCCGCAAGGATTTAGTGATTTTCTAAAGAGTAATTAGAAGGAATGCAATTGGATTAGAAACAGTTCAGAGAAGATTCATTTCACTGATTCCTGGAATGAAAGGGTTATCTTATGAGGAAAAGCTAGACCAGTTAGGTCTGCATCCATAGGTGTTTAGAAGAATAAAAAGTGACCTAGTTAAAACATTTAATATCCTGAAAGGTACTTGGCAGAATGGATGTTTCCCCCTATGGGAGAGACTTGGAATAGGGACAACCTGTGGAATTCTTTTCCTTAAGGAGCATTTTAGTTTTATTTTTAAGATGTTTTAAAAGAGTTATAAGGTTTTCATTTAAGGTTTTTTAGTTTTATTTTATTTTTAAGGTTAAATTAGATAAATTATTGATTTACAGGGCGCCAAAGGTTATACGAGTAGACAAAAATTTGATCAGCCACAGTTCTATTAAATTGCAGCAAAGGCTGTTTGATTTGGCTAGCCCAATTTTCATAATTCATTCTGTTGTATATGTTAAGGAATGGGCAAGAAATGCAGCCTTTCACGTCAGTGCAATAATAATAAATATTACTTGTTTTGCTTTTGTGTTTTTCAGGTTAATACAACCAGCCTCGATGAAGTTACACATGAAGATGCTGTTACTGCTTTGAAAAACACAACAGAAGTAGTATATTTGAAAGTTGCAAAGCCTACCAGCATGTACATGAATGATGGATATGCACCTCCAGACATCACTAACTGTAAGTCCTGAGCTGCCTCACAGAGTATGGAGTGATCCCAAAACTGCAAATTAACCCTTGAAGTTTGTCTTTTTGTGTGTTTATATACCAGATGCTACTTAGTCAGTATCCCTTATAAACAGTTGATTATAAAGTAGAATGTCCAGAACTACAGTCTTGACCTGGGTAATGTTATTTTCTGAGGCTTTGAACTTTTAATCTTTGGTTTTCCCTGCTTGTGAGATGGGAGTGCTCACTAATTGAATGGGCATATCAAAGAGATGCCGCCTTTAAAATCTTCACTGACTGCATTAATAAGGGATCTTCCCTAGTCCCATGCTGCACTAAATCTGTCGCTTCAGGCTAATAGATAGTATTTGTTCCATTGGAAACAATATTGCTATTCCAACAGTTGCAAAGAAGATCAGATTTCAAGAAGTTTGACTGTTATTTTGCTTTGGGCTCGTGACTGCAATGCTATTCAATTATGGTACTGAAAGTTTCCAACACAGAGCATTTTAATTTTATTCTGGAATCTTGGTTCAGAAACATTCTGTACTGTGTATCAGTTTTCCCTTGAGACAAGTATGGATTTTCAAAGCAGAACGTCAGATGGCTGGCAAAGATGGCTACTCCCCACATAAGTGTAGGTGGTGCCCACAACATCAGCAAAAATGATATCTTTAAGAAGTGCTTTGACATCTATGAGGGTAGCAGCTCTGTCTGTGTTTCCTTTACAGCATTTAATTGACATTGCCATCTATAGCAGCAGTATGAAGTAATGGGGCCTTAGCAGATTTGGCCCAACCAATTCTTCCTGTGGATTATAGCTACACTTCCTACAAACCACAAACTTTACTTCCTGCCAAAGTGGAAATTGTGAAACTCCATGTCCAATGCCTTTGTGGCCTGAAGATATTACTAAAAGTTTATGGCATTGTCCAGAATGCAACAGCTAAATATCTGAGCCCTACTATCATTTTCAAATGTTTTTAATTACTAATGCAGGAGGTAATTTTTTCCTTGAATTTTCAATGAACTGATACTCTTGTTTAACTCATCCTTGCAATGCGATTAGATGGGCTGTGCCATGTTTATTCCAGACAGCTACTGTTCCAGTCTGTAACACCATAGCTGTTTGTGCATATTTTGTATGTGCTGCACCACTTAGTGGTGGCCTTGACAGCAAATGCAGCCTTATCCAAAATGTCTTTGTCTTTCATTGAAGCAGATCTTCAAAGTATGAAGCTAGCCTGCCTCGTTCTAGCAAATCACCTTGAGGGCCACTATTTTGGGTAATAGTTTAGAAGAAAAAATGCGCAGGTTTGCTGACCACAATTCTGTGAACAGCTTTGGTCCCATTATCTAAAGAAATATATATGTTGACTCTGGTTGTAGTCCAGCGAAGGTTCAGCAAATTAATGCTGGTTATGGTGGTATTGTCTAATAAGGCAAAATTGAATAGGTTGGGTTTGTACCATTGGAGTTTGGTAGAATGAGAGAAGACCTTATTGTAAGATAAGATTCTTAGAGGACTTGATAGAATATATTCTAGAAGCTTGTTTCCTCTTGAGAATTTAGATTCAATGGGTATAATCTCAGAATAAAGGGTTCCCCATTTGAGACACAGATGAGGAAGATCTGAGGGTGTGAATCTGTGGAATTCTTGACCAGCGGATTGTAGAGATTGGCTCATTTAATATGTTCATGGACTGATTTTTTAATCAGTAATGAAATTGAGGGTTATGAAGACAAGGCAGGAAGTGAGTTGAGGGTTATCAGATCAGCTGCGATTTCATTGAATGATCTACTGCTCATACGTCTTAGAGGCTTATCTATCTGCTATCTAGCCTCAGAAAATTTGGATCATTCTTGCTTGCTTAATTGCATCTGCCAGATGAGAGTATAATATATCAACGTTATTGAAGAAACAATTAGCAAACTTGATCATTCAGAAATGTTGACGTAGGCCAGGCAAAGTTGACAATTTCAAATAATCCTAAACATAAAACTATGCATGACCCTGAAGTCCATGACATTCCGTTGATGATGGCCTTTTGTGGTGGTGAATGTTTTTCCTGACAAATTTTACAATTTCCAAAGAGCTGGTCAGCTTTGAAAGTGTGAAATTTATTTTTGGACTGGAGTTTAGCTGATAACATGTACCATGATCTAAAAATGTCAAATACTGATTTAAGAAGCTACAATCACCAACCTTACTGTCACTGTTTTATGTTATTTTTACACTGCTGTCATGCATCTTATTTTTGGCATAGAGGGCTGGATCCCTAAATTTGTCCAAATACCATTTTGTGCAATGTACAAAGTTGATAATTTCCCAGTTTCTCTTGTTTTTCTTTTCCTTTTTGATCCTCCTCCTTGTTGTGGACCAGAGTAGACTCCTTCAAAATATATTAAGCTAGCTTAGACCCTAACTTTTTCTTATTTTAAAGGTAATTGTGAGGTGTTGTGTTCCAGATGCAATTTGATTGGTCAAACTACTTGACGTTAAGCAAAACACAATTTATTCAATCACTATAGTTAAAATACAACAAAGGAAAGAGGAACTTGCAATAACTTAACACTATTGGAAAACTGAACAGAATAATAGAATAGTTTACTACTAAACAGTAACTGTTCCAATATAGTAACATCCCTTTACCACACCCTTGGCAAAAGACAAATTCAAAAAACAGATTGGAGAACTGCATGTGAGACAATGCAAGAGAAAAGAACATCAAAAGACAATACTGAGAGAGAGAGAAACAACCAGGAGAAATTCACTGCCTTCCACCCCTGCTGAGACCCCAGCTACAACTGCCAAAAGCTAACTTAAAAACCTGGATCTGAGAGAGTTTGATCACACCCACTCAGGCTGGTTCTATTGTTCCAACATTTTAAAAAAAAAACAAGGGCTCACAAGTTGTTGATCTTCTCATAGTTTGCTCAGTACCTGTCCCACCATCTCTCTCCAAAAGAAACCAGGACAAAACCTACCTCTTTCAGCCGTAATATCATCACATCCTACCCTTTCAGTAAAAGGAGTAACCAAGATGTCTTCCATTGCCATGCTTGGAATGAGAGTGACCTATGTGGGGAAACATGGAGTTAATCATACAAGTTGCTATTTTTAGCGTTTTAACGACAACCCCAAGACGTTCATTTAAGCCAAGGAAAACAATTAAACATACCTACTCCATATCTTGGATTTTGCTCCAATTTATAGGAGACTGTAGATGAAATTTCAGACAGTGAAACTGATTTAAGTGACCATACTTACTAAAATACGAACTTCCCATCTTACAATGAGGGAAAATAAAGAAAATGTGTGAGTATACTATAATAAAACATTAAAATAGGCTGGCATTTTTTCAAAATACAAGGTAACATTTCTCTATCAAATCCCAATTCACAATTGGGGCAAGTTCTTCCATATCTTTATTCACCACAAATGGACTTTATTGATCTGTTACTGCTTTTGTCAGACAGAGAGCGATTGAGAGGGCACAATAGTGAATTTTGAGCTCTATTGATCGTGTTTGTATGGATTCTCCTACCAACCACTATTCTCAACAGTTGAGGAAATGGTTAAAAAGACTTCAACAGACTAGGGAATGTCGTATTACAGATTTATTTAACACACTAACTTTGGGAAGAATCAAATCACTACAATGTCACCTCATTTAGAGCTATAAAGTTTTACATCTTCAAACTAGAGATCAGTCAGAATGTCCTGATTCTTCTACTTTGTGCAGTTGAATTAACTGATTTTAGTAAAACCTAAGAGGATAGAAACTAGGATTAACTTAACCTCAATGGCAGTAACTAGTGATGTCAGTTTTCAAACAGCACACACCACTTCTCCCATTTATTTCTATAACATAGCTTTGAATTGTGAATGCTGACTTCTGTGTACAAACTGTAGAATCAGAAAAGTCAATTCAGCTTAACAATTATATTTATATACAATGTATATTCAGTTATGGATCCTATTATGGTGCTTGTCATAAATGTAAATGTTCTCTCAATAAAACATTATACATAATGAAATATATAGGACTTGAATGTAAAAGATATTATCAAAATTTATAGTGAACAGAACTAAGTAATTAACTTGGAGATAGCAAGAACTGCAAATGCTGGAGTCAGAGACAACACAATGCGGAGCTGGAAGAAAACAGCAGGCCAGGCAGCATCAGAGGAGCAGGAAAGTTGACGTTTCAGGTCAGGACCCTTCTTCAGAAACTTCTACAAAGTTAGTTACTTAGACAACACAGTGAAAGAAGGGTCCCAACCTGAAACGTCAACTTTCCTGCTCCTCTGATGCTGCCTGGCCTGCTGTGTTCCTCCAGTTCCACAGCATGGTATCCCTAATTAACTTTGTACACCTATTGAGAATGAGAACTTCAGATGAACTGAGGTCATGAGAAACTGGGGAAAATAGGCAGTCTTGGTATGACACAAAAATGCATTTGAAAGTTCATCTTGAGATCAGATAGGGCGTTGAGATTGCAGTCACTACTTCACACTGGTTCTCCCAGTAGTTGTTAGGAAAAGGAATGGGATCAGTGGTGAGCTTTATGATAGAGACAGAAAATAATGTCTTAATATGTTACCAGAGGAAATTTCTGCACATCCAGTACTGGATGTCAGACAAGCAGTCAATCATTTTAGGGATGGCAGAGAAGTTAAGAAGCAATAAAGCTCTGTGTCGTCAGGTAAAGGAACGATAGAAGTCATTGCAAGTTTTTTTAGGCATTGGTTGTGAAGAAACATTGGCAGATGCAGAATGTGTAATAGATTTTAAAAAAGGAAGTGGATTAATATTTCAAGAAGAAAATTGTTAAAGGGTACGTGGATGGTTGGGGATGGTACCTTGAGCAGTTCCTTCTGTGAGCTGACATGGGCACGTTGAGGTAATTGGCACTTCTGTGTAAAGTTCGAATGTTGTTTTTGTGATGTTGTATGTGCAGTGAAATTCAAGATTATGCATGAGAAATTCATAATACAATGACAGCTAA